AAAAAAAAAAAAAATTGAAGATAGAGAGTAGATGAGTGATTGTTAGGGAATTAATTGTATTTGGTAGACCATCTTTTGAAGGTGATGGAACCGTTCCAAAACTAAATTGTGGAGAGGATTGCACACCTCGATAAGTTTACTACAAGCATTGAATTTGCACCTGAAACAAATACATTTTATGATATGTAAAGGATAACCCCAATAAAGTTGTTTGTTTTATTTCCAGCATGATGTCTTTTTACTTTAAATCTTCACACAAGCCTCACTCTTCCAAAAGAAAAAGTGCCTGCTCTTCAGTACAACCTGGCAGACCCTTCCAATCGGTGCCTGCCTCCTTTTCTGTGTTTCTCTCCCTCTGTATCCCCTTCAGTCCCTCTCTATCTGCACACTGAATTGAACAGATGCTCCCTGACTTCCTCAGTGCTGCCTTCTGAGCCAGGAGAGCCCACTCTGCCACGCCGTCTGTATTCATCGTAACCAGTTAGTCTAGATACCAGTTTTCTCAGTTGTTAGTTGCCATGTGGAACAGAAGGAAACACTGCTCATTCCTGGGCCAACCTCACAATCCTAGAGTTGCAGCCACCGTGTCAACCAATCCACCTCACTAAGGGTCTTCCTCTTTTTTGCTGACCCTCTACTTTGCCAAGCATGAAGGCCTCTCTTGACTTAATATGTCCCTCCTGATAATATGTCTGAAGTACGTGATCTACCCATCCTGATAACATATCCAAAGCATGTGAAACAAAATCTCATCACCTTCCCTTCTAAGGACCATCCTGGCTATGTTTTTCCCAAGACAGATTTGTTTATTATTCTTGTGGAAAGCATGGTATATTCAATGTTCTTTGTCAATACCACAATTCAAATGGTCAGTTCTTCTTCAGTCTTTTTTATTCATTGTTCAGCTTTCATAGCAGAGCAGTACAATCAAGTCCTAAGGTTGGTGAGGGATGGGAACACCAGGAGGGGAAAGCGCCAATCTCGTCCTCTCCTGCTTCTCTGAACTTTAGCTTCTCTTTGGAGGTCTTTCACTAAAGACTGCTGATCCCAAGGTGCTTTCTTGGAGAAGACGCTTCTTTCTTTTCCTTCTCTGTCCCAAAGTCCAGTTGTAACCTCATGGTCCAAACCATTATGGAACCGTCAGAGCTCAGCCTAACCATCAAGGAAGTAGACACCATCAACAAGGAGCATGGAACCAAAGAGTCAGCTCATCTCTGGTGGGGGCGCCACCAGGGGCACAGGCCAGGATGGCCAGACGGTTCAAGGTCAAATGTTGCTGAGTGAGAACTGGAATTGCCTCCCCTAGTAGCTTAAAACCCTCAGTCATGTCTTCTTACCCTTTCTGAGGATTGGCCTTGTCCTCGAAGCTTCCCTCATGTCTGTAGCAAATCCTCATCTCCTACCCACAGTTCTGTGGTCTCATCTGATCCAACCAGACATCATAAACTGACCTAGAATTGCATGCCAGCAGGAGCTGAGGGTTGTTTTGCCTAATCCCCAACCCCTCCCATTACCTGGTTGTAACCTCATGGCCTGGTTTACTTTGTAGTGTTATTTCAGCTAATGAAAGGGTTTGGGGTTACTTTTTTTCATGGGGGGTAGGGAATTGTTTGTTTCATTCTACAAATTCTTATTTATTATCATCCTATGCCAGGAGCCTCTTCTAAGTGTCTTAAAAGCAAAGGTGTGTCTATCCCAGGCCATGGTATTTTCAGTCGCCTCATACGTATGTGAAAGCTAGATGGTGAAGAAGAAAGACTGGAAAAGAATTGTTGCAATTGGGTTAAGGCCTTGTGAAAGTATATTGACTATACCATGGGCTGCCAGAAGAATGAATAAATCTGTCTTGGAAGAAGTACAGCCAGAATTCTCCTTAGAAACAGGAATGGTAGACTCTGTCTTACATGCTGTGGATATATTATCAGGGGAGATTAGTTTCTAGAGAAGGACATCATGCTTGGAAACGTAGAGGGTCAATGAAAAAGAGGAAAATGCTCCATAAGATCGATTGACTGTGTTTGCAACGATGGGATCAAACATCACAATGATCGTGAGGTTGGCACAGACTGGACAGTATTTCATTCTGTTATATACAGGGTCGCTAAGAGTTGTAACTGATTCAACTGCTTCTAATAACACCACCATGTGCCAGAAGTAGAAGACCTGATGGTGCTGTGGTTAAAGCACTTGGCTGCTAACCCAAAGGTTGGTGGTTCAAATCCACCATCCATTCTAGAGGAGAAAGGTGTGCCAGTCTGCTTCCATAATGATTTATGGCCTTGGAAACCCAATGAGACAGTTCTGCTCAGTCCTATGGGATCACTATGAGTCAGAACAGACTCAGTAGCGATTAGTTAGGGGTTTCTGTGTTGTTGTTTGTTCAGTTTTGATTTGATTTGGTTTATGTGCCAGGGAACAAAAGCCTTGATGGCACAGTGGTTAAGTGCTTAGTTGTTAACCAACTGGTTGGCTGTTCGAACCTACCAGCTACCCCACAGGACAAAGATGTGGCAGTCTACTTTCATAAAGAACTAGAGCCTTGGACATCTTAGGGAGTAGTTCTACTCTAACTATGGGTCACTCTGAGTCAGAAGCAGCTTGACCTCAAAGGGTAATATGCCAGGAACCATGCATGGATGGGCTCAAGTGTGGCAACAGTAGTGAGGTTGGCCCAGGATTGGGCAGTGTTTTTTTCTGCTGTGCATAGGGTCACCATGAGTCGGTACTGACTCGATGGCACCTAACAACAACAAATGCTGAGTGGGATAATAGCAATAAGCATTAGAAATCAATTTCCTGGCCTCTTGGAGCTTACATTCCAATGGGAGGAGCAAGACAACAATAAACACGATAATTAGAGATGCCATTTGGCAGTGGTTTCCAGGCTGGCTTTCTGGTTAGAATCACAGGGGAAGCATGCAAACATCTTGAGACACAGGCCTATCCCCAGATCTATTGCATCCAGTCTCTAGGGGTGAGAGCCAGGCATCTGTATTTTATGACACTCCCTAAGTGAGTCCAATGCAGCCCATACTGAGAACAACTGTTACCAGGGCCTGAAGATGATAAACGGGGGTAGATGAAGAAGACCAGTGACAGGACTACATTACCAACAACGTTCAGGGAAGGCGTCTCTGAGGCTGTCATTCGTTTGCATGCTTTTCTTTTCCGTGCCCTTCAGCCTAACTTAACATTACCATGGTTGGTTGTTGTTGTTATGTGCTGTGGAGTCGGTTCCGACTCATAGCGACCCTGTACAGGGTTTCCGAGGCTGTAAATCTTTACGGGAGCAGAAAGCCTCATCTTTCTCCTGCGGAACAGCTGGTAGTTTTGAACTGCTGACCCTGAGGTTCACAGCCCAATTCGTAACCACTACGTTACCAGAGCTCCTTGGTAGTCAGCTGTTTTTTTCAACTGAATTAAACCTTTTGTTTTTCTCAGCTAAAGCTGTCATTCTCTTAATGCTGAGCTTCGGGAATAAGCAGATTGAGTGGATGGTTCGAACATGAAGAGCTCAGATTGGAGAGGCAGAAGGTTTGAGAGACTTCAGCAGACTGAATCTACATCCCATGGGGACTGAACATTGCTCCTGGTGTTGTAACGGTGGTGCCATGGTTAGATCATATGCCCATTCTCCCTGTGTGACTACAGTCAGCTGTTGGTCAGGCCAATGGCTCTCCTTGAACGTGATGCTTTGTGTCCATCTTCTCCCAGGGGATCATTTGATGCCTTCCACTCAAGTCTCACAATAGGCCCTAACTAGGCCAGTTATGATGCAAGAAATGTTTGTGACTGTCCCTTGGGTTCCCACTAAATAGTCTATGAAACAAACTCCAGGCATTAACAGCTCCTATCCTAGCCTATGGCAAAATATGATCAAAGAATGGGGGACAATGGCTGTCAAAAGATTGGAACACCAAGGGCTAATGAGCCAATGGCCCAAGAAAGGAAGACTACAGAGGGAAAGGCAGGTAAGAAGAAAGGAAAATCAGTCCGAACGCTCGATACAAGCTATCCCTTCCAGGATGAAGACTCTCAGCTTTATCAGGAGGATCTGTGCTCAGTGTCACACCTGGGGTGAGCATAATCTGTACTTCTGATTTCTCCCTTCCCATCCATACCAGAAAGAAGCCAAGTAGAGTTGCTAACAGTATGACTATACAAACCTCTGCTCAAGGTGACTTGTCTTCTAGCTTATGTAGAATAACCCTTTATGAGGTTTCTTGTTCCGAATAGGGAAACTACAAAGCTCTTTTCTAATATACCCGCCTCTCTCCTTCCAGGTTATGGAGCAAATTCTACAGATCAGACCCACGCATTGCCCTCGGGAAATACTCCCCCATGGAGAAAGAGATCCTAGTAAGTATCTGAGGCTTATACCTACAAAGGTCCCACTGATGCAAGAGAATTTCGCTAGGGGGAGCCAGAGGTTCAAAAACCACTGTCAACAGAGGTGTGCCCAGTGAACTCCCAAACAGGATGCGTGGGGTCCACATTTGCATAGAAGACTCTCTTATTGCATAGGGGGGCTTCAAAAAGTTCATGAAAAATTCCATTCTCTTTTCAGTCCATCTTTCTATGAACTTTTTGAAGCCCCCTCACATACCTGGGGGGTCCTGTGTGGTGCTGTAGGATAATGGTTTCCACCACAATGGCAGCTCAAATTCACCAGTCGCTCCTTGAAAACCCTCCACTGGGTCACTATGGGTCAGAATCAACTCAATGACACTTAACAATAACATATACTTGGTGTGGCACTGAAGGAAAAGCACTGGATTGCTAACCCTAAGGTTGGCAGATCAAATCCACTAGCTGCTCCTTGGAAACTCTATATAGGTTTACTATAAATTGGAGTTAACTCGATGGCACTTAACAACAGCAACAACATATAACCTGTTAGCTGTTGTTGTTAAGTACCATCAAGTCGGTTCCGACCCATAGCGACCCTGTATAGAGTTTCCAAGGAGTGGCTGGTGAGCTTGAACTGCTGACCTTGTGGTTCATGCCGACTTTGCAGTCCAGCATGTTAACTAACCCACAGTGCCACACCAAGTGATGAAAGCTCTTACCATAACTTTCATACATGTTGTTTTGCTGAGACCTCATAGTGACTGCCAACTCAAGAAAATGCTTTGGAATCCATTGACAGTAAGAAGTAGAGTCAGGATTTGAACCCAGACTTGCCTGACACCAAAGATCTGCCTTCTTCCCCACTACACAGAGGAACTGAACTCACTTAGCAATGGAAGGAGAACTACGAAGGACTATTTCTTTTGTGGGTGTCCCCGTTCCTATGCGTCTGAGACTAACAACCCCCTTCCCATTGTCAGCGTCTAGGTGGTGTTCATACTATGGCAGCAAGAAAGTTTCTGGCTTTTAAGCAAGAGGAAGAACAGAAGCTACTCAGGGAGCTGCAGTTTCTGTCCTCAGACTACAAACGGGCAACGTCGTATAAAAATCAGAAGTCATCTCCTTGTTCTATTTGTGGACCCGGGGAAAAATCATGGACCGCAAAGGTGATTGTACCGGCAGAGGAGTTCAAAATGCCACAAAGAGAAATAACCAATATCAGTAAGCACATAGAAAGGATGCAGTTTGCTCGAGCCCTGAGGAATGCGCAGCTTTTACCCTACATTGAAAGGCTTAGAGACACTTCTTTTTTATCCAAAGCCAGCCTGGGTCCAGAGCCAGCCAAAGACCAGGCCAAAGAAGAGGGTGAAGACTTTGATTCAAGTAACTGTGAGATTACTGATCAGGACAAGAAGAAAGAGGCAGAGTTCAAACCCACTCAAAAACAAGAAATCAAAATGAACGTCATTTTCAAGTCAGACCAACCCAAAAAACGTTTAGTATATAATGTGAATGAGCGAAGACCATTTCTTCCCACTACAAAGCTGGAACGATGCATCACTGGCCCAACAAACAGATCCCTGCTCCATTTTTCTGAATTCCCTGGAGATCTGATGTTAATGAATCAGGATTTTATATCACGGGGACCCCACCCCAGTGAATTGACAAAGGCCTGCTCCCTCAGAAGGGGGAACGTCTGGGACAAACACAAAAACTGCTTGTGACCATTATTAAAGTTATTGATTCCTCAGGGTAACCCGTTCTTTCAGGTTCCTCTCCATTTCCTCTTCTCTCAGGATTCTGACTGCCTCTGCTGGATCCTCTGAGGCTCCTCAAGGTAAGACCTAACTGCTGAGTGCTCCTAGTTTTAGGCAACTCTTTGTTGTTAGCTTCCAGTCACCAGTAGCCCAGGCCCCTCCTCTAGTCCCACTCGCATTGGTGGTTATGTGCCGTGAAGTCAGTTCTGACTCATAGTGACCCTGCATAGGGTTTCCGAGGCTGGAAATCTTTACAGGAGCAGAAAGCCTCATCTTTCTCCCTCGGAACGGCTGGTAGTTTCAAACTGCTGACCTTGAAGTTAGCAGCCTGACTTGTAACCACTACCCTACCAGAGCTCCCTTCTATTGGAGCCAAGTCCTGGTGTGGCACTGTGGGTTAATGCCCCAGACTGCAAAGCCATTTGAACTACAAGGTTGGTGGTTCAAGCTCACCAGCTGCTCCTCGGAAACCCTACACAGGGTCAACTATGGGTTGGAACCGACTTGACGGCATTTAACAACAACATGAAAGAAAACACTCTAAAACTTAATGACTTAAAATACCAACCATGAATCTATTTTATAATCTGGGTTAGTAATTTAGGCTGGGCTCTGTAGTGTGGTTCTTCTGGTCTCAGACAAGTTTCCTCATGTGTCTGCAGTCAATGGTAGGACAGTTAATCTCCTTCTGGGGATTTACCATCAGCTGGGTTGCTGAGGGTGACTGGGCCACATGCTTTCCGCAGGCTAGTCTGGGCTTATTCACAGGGTCATTGCAGAGCGAATAGAAGTCTGCAAGGCCTCTTGAAGCTAAGGTTTGCAGCAGGTATACCATCACTTCCGCCACATTAAATTTTCCAGAGCAAGTCACAAGACTTGTAATTACAGAACTTCTAAATGAAGGGGAAATCAAGTCGATTTCAAGAAGAAAACAAAAGCAAACCCAAACCCTCACTTCAACCCTAAACCTAGACCAGGCTTTACTGCTAGTCCTAACCCAACCCCTACTCCTAACATTAACCCTTGTTGCTGTTAAGTGCTGTAGAATCAGTTCTAACTCATAGCAACCCTTTATAGGACTTCCAAAGAGTGGCTGGTGAGTATGAACCACCAACCTGTGGTTCAAACCAACCTTGCAGTCCAGTGCTTATCCTACAGTGCCACATCAGGACTCCAACATTAACTATAGTTATGGTTAATTCCATAACCAACAATAACCATAGTTCTAACACTAAATGAAGCCCTACACCCTGCCTCTTGTTGTTAGGTGCCATCGAGTCAGTACCGACCCATAGCGACCTTATGCACAGGAGAACAAAACACTGCCTGATCCTGGGCCAACCTCACTATTGTTGCCACGCTTGACCCCAATGATGCTGCCATTTTGCCAATCCATCTCACTGGGGGTCTTCCTCTTTTTCTCTGACCCTCCACCTTACCAAACCTGATATCCTTCTCCAGTGACTGGTCCTTCCTGACAATATGTCCAAAGCATGGCACACGAAGTTTGGCCATCCCGGCCTCCAAGGAGCACTCCGGCTGCACTTCTTCCAACACAGATCTGTTGGCTCTTTTGGCAGCCCATGGTACTTTCAATCTTCCTAGCCATAATCCTAACCCTAACTCCTTACGCCAACACACCTCCACCTACCCACTCACCCACCTAACCCCCGATTTTATTTTTAAAGATGATTAAATAAGTACTCTCTATTGTAGAGGAATTTTAAGAAGCCAGCAGATAGAAATCACAATGGAAACTCACCCCAAATGGAAGCAATGTTTCCCAGAGGCTTGGGCTTAGAGTCATAGGGATGAACTGGTTGTGTTGAGCAGAGACTTTGAGTCCAAAAGCCAATTGATGAGGTCCTAAAGGCTAAGATTAGATTGGAAAAATGGAGCAAAGGAAAAAATAAAGTGTGAATGAAGATTTAGAATATTTTAACAAGCTTTAACTCAACAGTAATTACAGTTTGTGGTACATAGATTTAATAAAGATAGTTTGAAGATCTGTAGGTGACTTACTGATGTTATTTTAGTGAATATTTGTTATAATTTAAATTGATATATTTTTGCTTTTTATGCAACAGAGAAAGGATATATATATATATATTTGGGTCTGCTAATAAATCTATTCATTTTGCTACTTTAAAAGGTTTTACTGTAAGATAATAATAAGACAGAAAGCTTAAGAGGTTTATAAAAACAAATTCTATTTATTATGGTCAAAGGTTTGTTTTTTTATTTTTAAAATCAGTTGTGGTCAAAGTTTGATGGCTTCATGTATGAGATTTTTAAGAACTTTACCATCAAAAAGTATGCATTAAAAGTTGTGTTTCTTTTTAAAATGAAACAATTTTAATCACTGAATTGGAGAGTTAATTTTATCCTCTTTATAACCTGCTTAGGAAGTCTCATCAAAATCAACTGAGTTAGGCAGACTTAAATGCCCTTGAGTTATAAAACTAAGCTACATATAAGTTTGAAAAAGCCAAGAATTCTAGCTTTAAAATGTTTTATTATTATAACTTTTCTGAAATAATTATCCAAGTATTGTTTCTCAGGGAAATGATAGATTCCCAGCCAGTTTGAAGCTGTGGGAAGCCACAAAGGATTTGTTCCTGCTTTGTAAGGGACAAGAGACACGGGAAGAAAGGGGGTACTCATTTAATGTGGTATCAGTTACATGAAGTGTGTTGCCAAATTAAGAGAAGTACCTAATTTGGGTTAAAAATTTGTGTGCCATATAGTCTATAATTGCAGAAAAGGGAGAGGAGGGAGAGAAGAAAAAAAAAAAAAAAACCTGTAGCCTAATATGAGTATGATTTTACTGTCCTCCTTCAGCTTCTTGCCTTCAAGGCCACTTGATAAATTTCAATATGTCAATGTTTCGGCCTGCTTTGTTTTTAAACTTTCTTTCCCTCTCCCCACCCCTTGTTCTGGCCTTTTCCTCTTTAAAAAACAATTCAGAGCTTGCTCTTGGGGGAAAAAAAAAAATGTGTGTCAATATCTCCTCTTATGTTTTGCCTGATGGTAGACTACAATAGGATCTATTATAGCGTCATTTTAGTTATTTTTAATTGCTAACTTGGTTACTTTGCACTCAAATCTATCAGCATCAAAAACAATGATTTAACGAGGGACTCATATAATTTGTCCATGGAGTTTTATTAATATCCAAGTGTTTAGAAACTTGGCAATCTTGTATATATTCTTGGTATACTCATGATTAGATGGTATTAGGTCTCAAAACATAATATTATACCTGAAGCTCTTTGAAAATGGAGTTAATCATTATGTTTGGAAATACTTTTGTCTAAAGTTTTAAAATTGTTTTGCCTTTGCATTATTTTGTAATAAATCTCATCAGGTTTTTGTTATTAGTAATAAGCTAACCATATCCATTTTAAAATTTCGCCATCTGTAGTGCTTTTTACTTCATTGACTTCCTGAAAATGCTTGAAACAAGAGAGTTTCAATAACAACAGATTTGTGCTGAATTTATGAAAAGGATGTGATGTTGTGAACTGAATACACTGAATCAAGATTTGCAGGCCCTTGTGTAGAAACCGATGGGTTCTTGCTATATTGATTCTGCTGCCAATTTAGTGGAACAGAAATTAACTACATAGGACTGAGTGGACTCCAAGATTATTATGGATTTATGTGGTAAACATTGCTGATGTTTTCACATTTACATTTTTTCAGAACATAAGGAGCCCTTTTCTCCTTTTCCCTAATCTGTTTAATTTTAATGTGTGTGGTTATTTATTTATTTTACCTCTAGCTTCCTACATGTTTATATATAATCAATTAATCAAATGGAAGAATAAGAAATATGAGAAAAGCTTAAAGATCAGACCAGAAAATAATTTTTTTAAGGATTAAAAGTAGAATAGTTGCTGATGTTAATTGCAGTCGAGTTGGTTCTGGCTCATAGTGATCCTGTATAGGGTTTCCCAGGACTTAAATCTTCGCAGGAGCAGAAAGCATCATCTGTCTCCTGCATAGCAGCTGGAGGGCTCAAACCATGGGGCCTTGTTCGTAGTCCAATGCTTATCTTATAGAGCCACCACACTCCCGAAAAAGGAGAAATGGGGGATGAGAAAAACCTTTACCATAAAACCCTTTATAATAATATTGTTGTTATTGTTAAGTGCTGTCATGCAGGTTCCAACCCATAATGACCCTATATAGGGTTTCTGAGGAGTGGCTGGTGTCATAATGATATTGCTGTTGTTGTTGTTATTGTTAAGTGCCATTGAGTCAGTTCCTACTCACAGCGACCCTGTATAGGGTTTCCGAGGTGAGTTTGAACTGCTGACCTTGTAGTTCACAATCCAGTGTTGATCCTACAGTGCCACACAGGACTCTAGAGTCTATTGTTGTTTTTAAAAGCCATCCATTCATCTAACTCGTTGTTGTTGTTAAGTGCTGTTGGCTCGGTTCCGACCCATAGTGACCCTGTATAGGGTTTCCAAGGAGTGACTGGTGAACTTGAACCATGACCTTGTGGTTCAAACCAACTTTGCAGCCCAGTGCATTAACCACAGCGCCACACCAGGACGCCATCTGATTTACAGCGATCCTATATAGGTTTCCAAGGAGCTCTGGTAGTGTAGTGGTTACGAATTGGGCTGCGAGCCTCAGGGACAGCAGTTCGAAACTACTAGCTGTTCTGCAGGAGAAAGATGAGGCTTTCTGCTCTGTAAAGATTTACAGCCTCGGAAACCCTGTACAAGGTCGCTATGAGTCAGAACTGACTCCACGGCACATAACAACGTATAGGTTTCCAAGGAATGGCTGATGAGTTTCAACCTCCAACCTTTCAGTCCAGTGTTTATCCTAAGTGCCACACCAGGTTATTCCAAAATGGCCTAAGGCATTTCTGTGTTAGAAGGAACCCTTTGGATTCTCTTCAGTATCAGTTGAAATATAAATATCTTAGATGATTTCTACATTAAATAATAATCAGACTTTAAGTGGGTTTAGTATTATAACTCTTAAATTAGAACTTTCTGTTGATAAGCTCAGCAAAGTGGCAAATACCATAAATAGAGAAATCTGTGAAGAGTGAGCTTTAGAAAGCAGAATGGCATTCAATTTTTTGTTAATTTTCCCAGGAGGAGTTGTCCCTTAATAGACATATGTTGCTGTGTCTACATTAATGATAAGCAATCAGAGGTTTTGCAGAATACAGGTGCTTCCTGTGTATGAAAACTACCAGCTGGAACTTAGCTCCTTGATTCAAAGCCCTAGAGATACAGCCCTGTGGGTCATTTCAGTAAATTGACCTAAGATTGTTCTTGGTGCTTTTGTTCTGCCTCCTAGTTCATTGTGTAGTGTCTGTGGTCTTAAATGCTTCCAACAGTTGATCTCTGTTCATCGGGAGCAAGAGGAAAGGAAAGCCAGATAAAGGAGGATCTAGACACCTCATCTGACTGCCTCATTTAACAACTGTTTCCTTTGTCACATGGCCAGAAGAATCAGATGGCTCTTGGCTACCATTACTGAATGTTTTTGAGCAAAGATTCTGTAGCAGAATCCTGATCAAAAGTAGAGAACTGAGAAACTGTTTAAATTTTTTTTGGAATCCAGATTTATGAAGTCCTTGGAATCGGGATAACCCACCCAGGTCATTTGCCCTTAGGTGTTCTTTTGGACCTTGTTATTACATAATAATTAATGCTATTGTAAAAATATTGTCTAACTCCATTTCAATGGCAAGGCTGATGAGGTGGGCTATAAAAGTCTTTGGAGGTTTTCTCATTTGGGGGAACATTTTTTACTTCCTAGTAAGGAGCTCTGGTAGCGTAGTGGTTATGAATTGTGCTGCTAATGTCTTGGTCAGCAGTTTGAAATTACCATCTGTTCCATGGAAGAAAGATGAGGCTTTCTGCTCCTGTAAAGATTTACAGCCTCGGAAATCCTATGCAGGGTCGCTATGAGTCAGAACAGACTCCATGGCACATAACAACAAGTTGGGGAGCACTGTGGCTCCATAGGCTAAGCACTGGACTGAGAACAAGGTTGGAAGTTTGCACTCAACCATTAACTCCAAGGAAGAAAGATGAAGCTTTCTGCTCTCCAAAGATCTAAAGCCTTGGAAACCCTAAACAGAGTCGATATGAGTGGGAACCTACTCAATGGCAGCTAACAACAAGAAGTTGAAATGTTACCCAGATTTGCAAATCATATATTTAATAAACTTTAATCAAATTGAGTTCTGATCTGGTGTGGTGCTACAGGGTAATGTACTGGACTGAAAGGTCAGTTTGAACTGCAAGGTTGGCAATTCAAACTCACCAGCCACCCCTTAGAAGCCCTATACAGGGTCGCTATGAGTCAGAACCTACTTGATGGCACCTGACAACAATTTCCACTATTGGCTTTAATATGATTTTTGTTTTAACAATAAACATAGGTGTGGTGTTGTAGGATAAGCACTGGACTATAAGGTCAGTTTGAACCTAAGCAGTTTAAATCCATAACTCACTCCTTGAAAACCCTAGAGAGGGTCACTATGAGTTGGAACTGTCTCAATAACACTTAACAACAACAATAGCACATATAAATAAATACAAACATATATGTGTATGTATTTACAAACACATTGGTCCGAACCCATTATCTTCAAGCCAATTCCAACTCATAGAGACTCCACGGAGTACAGAGTAGAACTGAGCCCCATAGAGGTTTCCTGGCTAGGATCTTTACCCAAGACCACCAGGTCTTTCTTCCACGGTGCTGTTGGGTGAATTTAAATCACCAACCTGAGACTCCATCTTATTCAAACACCTACCAGCAGAAGCTCCACAATCACTCCCAGCAATGTCTCAGTGTCTTCAACTGGTGAATGAGGATTCTCAAATTAAAAAATAATACTAATAAAATAATGGACTTTTTGGAAAGAGGAGCTTAATTCTAAAAGGATACAGCAATAGCATTGTGTGTGGGTAAGAAGCAAGCTTTAGAGTCCTCCTGCCCAGGGTTGGGGTTGTGATTATTTACTTTCTGTGGGGCCTCAGCTTCCTCATCTCTAAAGTGGGGACAGCTGTACCAACCTTACAGAGTTGTCAGATGAAATGAGATAGTTTTTCTAAAGTTTTTTAATGCTGAAACTAGCATATGGCAAATGCCAAAGAGATGTTAACTGACTATCAACATCATTGTGTATTTAATGGTTGCCCTAGTTTCTAACCCCAACTTATAAATGAGAAACTCAAAGTTGAAAAAAAAATTAAAGGAGTTACCTAAAATTAGTAGTAGAATGGTGGAGACTAAACCTCTTGCTATCTCTGCCTCTCTGGCTCCTTTACGGTCAGATTGGACTGGACTGTCTCTCATCAAAGACCAAAAGTGCACTATACAGAAGTCAAGACTTAGCTGATAATATCATGTGACTGGGAACTTAGGTGTTTTCTGGAAACTTTAAAGGTCCTGGAACTGCACACACTGGGATAGTTTTCTGATGTTTGCTGTTAATCAGACCAAGAGAATATAGCTAAATGGGAGCAACTAGAGTAGGGTCATTGTCTGAAAAGTTAGAAAAACTAGAAAAGACTTCCTTCCTTCTTCATGGCAGTAGACTTTGTAAGGTCATCTGAAGAAGTTCCCTTACATCTCTTGGCAGCATTCAGGAAGGGCATTTGCCCTCCCTGGGACGTGTCAAGTTTTCTGGAATCAGGAATAAGCCTGTCTAGAACCAAAACAATGAACCAAGTGCCTCTGTTCCCAAAACAGATCTTGTTCATCATGAAGGAAGAGCAAGACAATCCATCAGTGAGTCTGGAGTAAGTTTAAATGCCCCTCAACCCAGCCCACCTACCTGTAGAGTGGCCATGGTAAAATGCCTCAAAGAATGTGGGCTTGTCGCTGGGATCTCTGGAATACTTGACGGTCATAATGTTGGATGAAGATGGGTAAACCAGAGAGTTGCCTTGACAAATTTTCCCAATGGATTTGGTCCATCTGTGGCTTCCAGATGCTCACCCACCCATGTGAGACTGGTCAGGAGAGGTAAAGGTAAGCATCAGCATTTCAAATTCCCCTTGTTCCAGCAGTAGCCTCTCTCTACCAATGAGTGAAGCTTGGATGACACTGTGATCCATCTTAAGAAGTGAATGGTCAGATGACAACTAGGGAAAGAAAGTCTATACATTTCTGCAGAGAACAGTTATTCCAGGACCCCTCCAAGCTCCTGTCAAGACCTCATCCTTTGACAGAGATCCAAGTGGCATCTAAGTCTCCCAGAAACTCTTTGTATGGGTCTGGAAACCTAGAACAGGAATTTTAGCCTCTGGAATCAGATTGTAATTCCAGTCCCCACTAACATCAAAATGCAGCTGTCCCAGTAGTATGTTTCCTTGGGCCATAGCCATTGTGTTAAAGTTCCAGAGCCCTACTATGAGTGTGTGGTGCCACCCCAAGCTTGATGCTCCTCTTTTCTATCAGCAGGTGGGGCAGTGAGTGAGGTGTCCTAGCCCACCAGCCCACTTTGTCCTCTCTCAAGTCTATCTAATGTTGACAAAACACACTTGGATTCTTTCAGTCCTGATAAGTCTCTCTCTTACCTTGAAGGCCTCTCTACCTCTCCTTGCATAATCTTCCACCCCTCGTCCTTACTGAAACACAAATACTTCTCATGCGCACTGGAGAGAAGTCGGAAGCCCTTGGGGGAAGCACATGACACCAGAGAACACACATGCAGACTCTTTTTATGTCAGTTTTGCTATTTTCCCAGACTTGAGTCTTTCCAAAGTGCTAAGGACATGACTGCAGGAGAAAGATAAGGTTTTCTGCTCCTTCAAAGATTTACAACCTCGGAAACCCCATACAGGCTCACTATGAGTTCGAACTGACTCAATAGCATGTACCAACAATAAGGACATGAAAAAGACAAAGGGATAAGATAATGAAATTTTCAGATTAGTCCATCCCTCCAACACTTAGAGAAATGGTGGCACAGGAAGTGTCCATCTCTTTTGTCCCTGGTCCCCTCCTCTAGCTCTTTCTCTTCTTGTTTCCCCAAATCTGATCTTCTCAGCTGCACATTCTTTTTTGGATGTCTTGAGGCAGAGTTTGGGTAGATGGTCTACATTCCATTTTTAGGCAGCGGGCTCTAAGATGTCCCTCATCCTACAAAGGACCTGTGGAACCTAGTGTGAGTCCCGATCCTGTAGCAGATCTAGAGCGGACAGGAAGCCGTAATCTTGCAGATTACATGAACCATTGAATCTAGCATAGTGTGCGGTGCTTGGCATGGATCTAGAATATATGAAAATATGTTTCCCATGTTAAAATCTGTGAAGATTTCCTTGAGACAGAAATGCTGTAAGTTAGTGCTGCATTGGAAATTGAATCACTCCTCTGTCCATTCGTTAGTATAGTAAGTCAGCATGAAGTACTGTCCAGCTAGTTCTGGCTCATGGAGACCCTGCATAGGGCTTCTGAAGAATGGCTAGTGAGTTTGAACCGCCGGCCTTGCCGTTCAAACCGACATCATGGTTGAGTGTTTCTCCTACAGTGCCACACCAGGACTCCTGTCCATTCATTAACTCAAGACATAGTTCTTAAACCCTGAAGATAGTCATTCTAAGAGAAAGAAAGAAGTCCTCTCAGTTCTCTGCTTTACAGTCAGTAGGGAGTTTTGCAGGAGGTAACAGATGGATGGCTAAGGAGAGCGAGATCTGTCCATGCTGGAAGGGAGTCAGCAAGACTCTGTGTCAAAATCAGCCCTTAAGCTGAACGCTGAAATGGGAATAGTGGTCTCCTGGTGTGGCACTGCCGGGTAATGCACTGGACCGCAAGGTGGGTTTAAACTGCAAGGTTGGCGGCTAAAACCCACAAGCCCCTCCTCAGAAATCCTATACAAGGTTACTATGAGTTGGAAATGACTCATCGGTACTTAACAACAACATCAAGCAGAAGAGGGCAGAGAGTCTGCTGTGGGAAGAAGGACACATTCGAGGCAGAGGGGATGGGGTCAGCAAAGACATGGGGCAGCTGTGTGTCCAGAAATCTCAGCTTGCTGTGACTCAAATACAGGGGACGGGGGCTGAGGGAAGAAGTGATTACAAGGAGGGATGACTAGAAGGATTTTGAGGGCAAAGGATTTTTGAAAGCCACGCAAAGGAGAGCAAACTTTACCTAGAGGGCAGGAGGCACTGAAGGGTTTCCATCAAGAATGAAAACGTAGTTTGTGTTTCAGATACCTTCAGTTGTTGTTGTCATAGCAACTCTGTACAGGGTTCTGAGGCTGTAAATCTCTGCAGGAGTAGAAAACCTCATCTTCCTCTCCCTTTGATGGTAGGTGGAAGGTAAACTGGAAGAGGTGAAGATGCCCTCCTACTTAGAAAACTACAACCACACCCACAACTTACACCCTGAGCACTCACTTGAGGACAGGAAATGCCAGAAGGACCTTCTGAAGTGGCTTCAACTGAATGGTCCAGACGTAGGTAGTTTCAGGCCCAATATAGTTGACGAATCTGCCTAATGGATCTGTGAGGACGTCTCCACAGTTACCAAGCCCTACAACCAGTGAAGTGGATATTAGGGCCTCCAAGGAGTCATGGTGTGGCACTGTGGGTTAGTGTGCTAGACTGCAGTTTGAACCGCAAGTTTGGCAGTTCAAATCCATCAGCCCTCCTGGGAAACCCTATACAGGATTGCTATGAGTTGGAACCAACTCAATGGCACTTAACAATAATTTATGTATATATATATATATATATATCCTCCTGGTGTGGTGCTGTGTGTTAATGCACTGGACTGCAAAGTTATTTGAACTGCAAGGTTGGTGGTTCAAGCTCACCAGCTGCTCCTCAGAAATCATATACAACGTCGCTATGGGTTGGAATCAACTCAACAGCACTTCACAACAACAACAATAATATATATATATGTAGAAGTGTGGTGGCTCTGTAGGATAAACACTGGACTTCAAACCACAAAGTTGGCAGTTTGAGTGACCAGCCACTCCTCAGGAGAAAGATGAGGCTTTCTGCTCCTGCCAATGTAGAGATGTACAAATCCAAACAACAATAAGATACCATCTTACTCCAGGATTAATAATAAAGCTCAAAAAACCAGAAAACAAATGCTGGACATATTGTGGAGAGAATGGGGCCTTCCTACACTGCTGGTGGGACTGTCAAATGGTGCAATCTCTGTGAAAAACGGTATGGCACCTTCTCAAAAAGTTGTTAGAAATAGAAATACGGCTTGACCCAGCAATTCCTCTGCTCAGCATATGTCCTAAAGAACTAAGAGCCGTGCCACGAATCGATATACACACACGCATGTTCACTGCAGCACTATACACAGGAGAAAACAGATGGAGACAGCCTAAATGCCCATCAACACAAGGATGGTGAAACAAAAGACTCTAGGTGTCCTCAGCTTTGCTGCCTAAGAACTTACATTTCTAACAAACCCCCAGGACTACAGGATTCCTTTGCTTTAGTTAGAGGGAAAAGAGAGCTTCTGATTGGACTGACTTAGGTCACATGTCCATGCCTGACAAATGACTGCAGTCAGAGGAGTCAGACTGTGCAGATTGGCCTAGCAAAGATCAAGTGTTCCATCCTGGGCACCAGGAGGAGAATCAGCTTCCCCAGAACTACATAGATCATGGAAACAGAGACTGGGGCTGACTGGGAAGGACCAAGGAAGGAAATTATGCTGGAGAAGCAAGAACAGATGCCTGCCTGGTGGCGGAGTCAGCCCAGGTGAAGCACTCCTCAGTCCCTGTTCCCTCCTCCACACTTGACCTGATGCCACCCTAGTCCTACTGAACCACAATCTCTGGGGTTGGGCCAGTAATCTATGTTAGTCACCCCTCCAGTTTGGTACTTGATACCCATTCAAGTTTGAGATCCACTGTCCCCATTACATGCACCTGTGTTGCATGTAATGAATTCACTTCTCTCCTATGTATCTTCTTATACACCACCTTCATCTTGAGACGACCCTACTCCATCCAGCCTCAAGAGTGAGACGGCTCTGGTGGCCTGAGATATATAGTGCCAGCTCCTGCCATCTGATCTCCTCCTCCGTCTGGAGCCAAAGCAAGGAGACGGTGCTGCAAGGTTAAAGCCAATTTCTACAGAGGAGATCATGGCCAACGGGGCTCAAATGCTAATCAACACTTTCCTTTCTTGGCCCATTTCCCAGTCCTTTGTTAGCTAGATTGAGAGAGAAGGGCCGATTTCTCCTTCTTTTCCCTTTCTGAGGTCCTGGAGGGAGAGTTAGAGGTTGGTCACAGGCCAACACCATCTCTGCTGCCTTATGTTACTTTGTACTTTCACAAGTACCTACTATCAGCTTCACAACATCTGGGCAGAGAGGGAAACCAAGTGTCATTGGATAGTTGTGGAACTGAGACCCAGAGAGGCCAAGGGACTTGACCAAACCCATGGGGTCTTAGTGGTAGAGCCAGAGCGAGGACCCAATATCATGACTGCCCTGTCTTCCCAAGAGGTCACTTGACAACTTACAGCCACGTTGTCACTCAAGAGCAAAGAAAGGCACAAGGACTGAGCTGGTAAGGTGGAACACTTGCTGGGACAGGTCAGCATGTGTGTGTGTGGAGTGCCCAAGTGGATGATATATATACTAATGTTTACATTTATTATGTGTTTATAATTAATTCCAAGACCCACATGGCCTGTTCCCAGGCAGTGTTATGGTTAAAATAGGTCAGCACAAGATGCTATGGAAAACAATCCGGCACTTTTCATGAAGGTCAAGCTTAGTTACCATATTGCTGTTAAATGCCTTTGAGTCAGTTCTGATTCGTAGCAACCTTGTGTAGCATTTCCAAGGCGTGTCTGGTGAGCGTGAACTGCCGATCTTATGGTTCAAACCGACCTTGCAGTCCAGCACATTAATCCACAGCCCCACACCAGGTCTCCTTATAACTCAGCAATTCCACTAGGTAGATACCCAAGGGCAATAAAAGCCTATGTCTCATAAAAGCATGTACAGAAATTAGAACCCTTCTCCATTGCTGGTGGGAAGGCAAAGTTGTACAGTCACTGTGGAAAACCATGTAGTGGTTCCTCAAAAAATACTAAAAACAGAACTACCAGAGAACCCAGCAATCCCTCTCTTAGATACATATCCAAAACCTCTGAGAGCACATTCAGACAGAGACCTGAACAGCAATGTTTGCTATTCACAATAGCCAGAAGGTGGAAACAACCCAAATGCCCATCAGCAGATGAATGGGTAAACAAAATGTGGTTCCTACTGGTAGCATAGTGGTTAAGAATCGGGCTGCTTACCTTAAAGTCAGCAGTTCGAAACTACCAGCCGTTCCATAGGAGAAAGATGAGGCTTTCTGCTCCTGTAAAGATTTACAACCTCAGAAACCCTGCGCAGGATCACTATGAGTCAGAATCGACTCCACGGCACGTAACCACCACCACATACAATAGAATACTACTCAGCCAGTAAAAGAAAAGAAGTCTTTATACATGCTACAATATGGATGGAGCTTGAAGACATTCCACTGAGTAACTAACATAAACCAATCACAAAAAGACAAATATTGTTTGGCCTTCTTATATAAAAAGACAAATGCATAGAGACCAACATCTATTTGGTTACCAGGGGTGGGAGGGAGAGGAAAGGGGAAGGTTAGTGGTAATGGAAAAATTGCATTAAGAGCAAAGTTCACAGCCAATTGTTATAATTTAGGTCAATAAGCTTTATATCTGTAAAAAACTGAATTGGCAAAAGTTGTGTGATAGATTTATTTATGACAACAATAAAACAAAAAAAAAAGAATAGTTGCTTAACCTACTTATGTACAATCATAAACCTCGTGGGATTTAGTTTCTTGGTTTGGAGGTTTAGGGTCCTAGTTTCATGGGACATCCCAGTTAATTGGCCTAGCTGTTTAGTGTTTCTGTTCTACCTTCAAATTTATGTAGTGCCTGAGGTCTAAAAAACTTACAAGCAGCCATCCAAGGTCATCCAAGGAATGACAATTCGTCCCTATTCATCTGGAACAACAGAGGAAGAAGAGAGTCAGAAATAGGAGAAGGATGTGGAATATGTGACTAATTGTCACCGTGTATAACTGCCTTCTTTGCCATGAGACCAGCAATACTGGACAGGGCCCAGATGCCATGACTAAATATTTTGATCAGAGATGATGCTATTGAGGAATTCTGATGGAAGGAGTAGTCACTGTACTAGAAAGAAATGGTTGATGTTCAACCATTTCAAGAGGTAGCATATGATCAAGAGCTGATGATACCGAAGGAAAAAGTCCAAAGCGCACTGAAGGCATTGGCAAAGAACAAGGCTCCAGGAATTGATGGAATATGAATTGAAATCTTCCAATAAACTGAAGCAGAGCTGGAAGCACTCACTCATTTATGCCGGGAAATTTGGAAGATGGTGTCCTGCCAACTGATTGGAAAAGATCCGTATTCGTGACCATTCCAAAGAGAAGTAGCTCAACAGAACACGGAAATCATCAGACAATATCATCTGTATAGCATAGAAGTAAAATTTTGCTAAAATATAATTCAAAAATGGCTGCAGCAGTACATTGACAGGGAGCTGCCAGAGGTTCAAGCCAGATTCAGATGGGGATGTGGAATATGAGAGAGCACTGCTGAGGTAAGAAGGATCCCGGCTGAAAGCAGAAAATACCTGGAAGATGCTTCGCTGTGCTTTATTGACTACGTGAAGGCTTTTGACTGAGTGGATCATTTTCAGCTATGGACAACATTGCTGAGCATGAGTATTCCAGAACACTTAACTGGACTCATGAGAAACCTGTACATAGACCAAGAGACGGTTGTTCAAACAGAACAATGTGACATTGTGTTTTAAAAATCAGGAAAGGTGTGTGCCAGGGTTGTGTCCTTTCACCATACTTATTCAACTTGTATGCTGAGAAAATAATTCGAGAAGCTGGATTACATGGCTTTAGGATTGGAGGAAGACTCATTAAAAACCTGCAATGTGCAGATGATACAACTTTGCTTGCTGAAAGTGA